TTGGGACACTGCAAAAGCAGTCATAGGAGGGAAGTTCTTCACAATTAGTGCTCATAAGAAGAAGATGGAAAGAAGGCAAAAGGACCACCTAACATAATGCCTCAGAGAACTGAAAAAGCAACAGCAAAAACAGCCCCCCCAAAAAAAGACTCCAGGAGAAAAGATGTAATAAAGATTCAAGCATAAATAAATCAAATAAAAAATAAACGAACTATACAGAAAGTAAATGAAAGTAAAAGCTGGTTCTTTGAAAGATAAACAAAATCAACACACCACTAGCTAGACTAATTAAAAAGGAGAGAGAAAGGATCAAGGTAAATCAAATTCACAAAGAAGCAAGCAATATAACAACAGACATAATAGATATACAAGATGTCATTAGAGGATACTATGCCAACAAACAAGAAAATCTGGATGAGATGGACAAGTTCCTGGACACATATAATCTACCAAGATTGAGTCAGGAGGGTGATGTAGAAAGTCTAAATAGACACATAACAAACTATGAGATTGAATCAGTAATAAATAACCTCCCAACAAAGAAAAGCCCTGGTCCTGATGGCTTCACCTCCGAATCCTACAAAACTTTTAAAGGAGAGTTAACCCCCATTCTACTCAAGTTATTTCTAAAGATTCAAAAGGGTGGAACTCCCACATTTATTCTATGAAGCCTCCATAACCCTTATCCTTAAAACAGACAAGGACAGGATAAGGAAAAAAAACTATAGACTAGTATCTCTGATGAATATAGATGTAAAAATTCTCTACAAGATACTAGCAAATCATGCCCAACAACATATAAAAAAGATTATATATCACGACCAGGTAGGCTTTATTCCAGGAGTGTAAGGATGGCTCAACATACACAAAACCATAAATGGAATACACCATATTAATAGAAAGAAAGATAAAAACCATATGATTACATCAACTGATTCCAAAAAAGCATTTGATAAGATACAACATCCCTTCATGATCAAGACTCTCAGCAAAATTGGCATAGAAGGATCATTCCTGAACACAATAAAAGCTATTATGAAAAACCCATAGCTAACATCATCCTGAATGGGGACAAGCTGAAAGCTTTTCTGCTAAAAACTGGTGCAAGACAAGGATGCCCACTTTCTCCATTCCTTTTCAATGTAGTACTGGAAGTTCTCTCCAATGCAATCAGGAAAGAGAATAAAATAAAAGGCATTCAAAAAGAAAAAGAAGAGGTGAAATTATCTCTATTTGCAGATGACATGATTGTATACATAGAAGATCCAATGGTATCCATGAAAAAATTCCTGGAACTAATAAATTAATACAGTAAAGTAGCAGGATACAAATGAACATACAGAAATCTTTAGCATTTCTATATATGAACAGCAGGCAGACTGATAGAACTAAAAAAAGTAATTCCATTTACCATAGCAACACAAAGTACTGGATACCTACAAATAAATTTAACCAAAGAAGTCAAAGACCTCCACAAGGAAAACTATGAAAAGCTAAAAAAAGAAATAGAAAATTACATAAAAAAAATAGTGGAAGGACGTGTCCTTGGCAGCTTGAAAAATATGCCAGGTGTGTGTGCATGTGTGCCCTAAATATTGATAAGATGGAGAAATGAAGGTAAAAGAATTGTGGGGTGACCATGCCCCATGAGACAGGGGATGGGCACTTTCTTGGTCTCTCTCGCTCTCTCTCCCTTTCCCTTGAGAGCATCTGTGACCTTTGGTAAACAAACAAAAAAAAACCTAACAGAACAAAACACAGGGGCCAGCCAGGTGGCATGGTGGTTAAAATGACTGGATTTGACATTGTCAAGTGTGTGGTTTGAGTCCTGGACCTGGGCAGCTTGAAAAACAAGCCAGGCATGTACACATGCATGCCCAAATCCTAAAAGGAGAATGGAGTTTTTGTGGCATGGTTGGTCTTCCTGGGGTGTGATTTTTCACTTTCCCTCTCTCTCTATGTCTCTCTTTGGTGAGTGAACATATCCTACTGTAAAGAAAAAAAAAGATATAAGAATAAAAAAAAATGGGGGTCTAGTAGGTGGCGTAGTGGTTAAGAGTGCTGGACTCCTACATGGCTAACCACAGTTTGCGTCTTGAATCTGGCTTGCTTTCTCACTTTCCCACTCTCTCTCTCTTGCTCTGTCCCCCTGATCAAATTAAAATAAATAAATAATTAAACAAAGTTAAAATTTAAAAAAATTCCTAAAAAAATAGTTTGAGTAGATATGTTTATCACATGTGAGCACCAGTTCTGGTAATTTGGTATAGGATTGAAAACTTTTTTCCTTTTCTTTTCTTTTCTTTTTTTTTTTTTGCTATAGGGCGCATGTGCTCGCCAGACAGACAGAGAGAGACAGACAGAAAGCGAGAAATCAGCCCCCAGGGGGGATGGCCACGCCACAATCCCTTCTCCTCCATTCTCCTCTCAGGATCTTGGGCACGCACACACACGCGCCTGGCGTGAGTTTAAGCCACCAGGTCCAGGACTCGAACCACGGTCGACTACGTGGGGGTCCAGCAACATAGCCATTACGCTAACTGCTGGTCCCAGGTTAAGAGGTTTTTGCATGACAAAAGACACAGTAATTAGAATGAATCAACAGCCAAAAAAATGGGAAAATATTTTTGTAAACTATGCTTCAAATAAGGGACTGTTAACCAGAATATACAAGGAACTCAAGCAGCTTTCCTGAAAAAAAAAAAAAAAAGATCAACCTTATTAAAAGATGGGAGAATCAGTTGAAAAACCAACTCGCTAAGGGAAGACATACAAATAGCCAAAAGGCAAATGAAAAAATGCTCAACATCCCTCATTATAAGGGAGATGCAGATCAAAGCCATAATTAAATACCACCTAACCCCAATCAGAATGACTAAGATTAAAAAAACAAAAACTGATAAGTTCTGGCAAGGATTTGATGAAAGGGGAACTCTCCTACACTGCTGGTGGGAATATAAATTGGTTCAGCCTTTGTGGAGAACAATATGGAGATTCCTCAAAGATCTATAAATAGAACTACCATATGATCCAGTAATCCTACTGCTTGATATCTACCCAAAGGACAGAAGAATTCTTAGTTGGAAAAGTGCTTGCACATTGATGTTTATTGTGGCATTATTCACAATTGCTGAGACATGGAACCAATCCAGATGTCCATGAACAGAGGAATGTATTGAAACAGTGTGGCACATATACTCTATGGAATACTATTCAGCCATAAACCACAACAAGAAAGTGGATGATTATGGAAAATTTACTACTGAGTGAAGCAAGCCAGGCTATGAAAGAGAGACATTGTATGTCTTCACTTAATATGTACGGAATGTTCTCACTCTATGGCTAAAACTGAATTTCTAGAGGATATAAAAACATAGAAAATGGCTATAGATACCAGATATGGTGTGGGAAGAGGGCAGGAGAAAGAGTCTGAGGAAGATATTAAAGAGAAAAATAGAGAGACAAGACATTTATTGGACAAAGAAATGGGTTATTATTTGTTAAAGATAACATGTAGAGTATCCCCAACTGAACTGGTGAGAAATGTATTCATGTTGGAATATTCACTTTACAAGCTAAGTGACATATGTGATTGAATGTATAAAAGAAATTGAAATAAATAATATTTTTTAAAAAAAGAAAAGAAAGTGTGGTGGAGGGAGAGTCAGAGTAGGACTCTGAAAAAAATGTCCATTTAAGCTGATACACCAGAGGATAGTAGTGAATAGCCATGGAGAGTGGGGAAATTCTGTTATAAAGGGAATCTATGTATATTTCAATGGCCAAGGCAAGAAAGGCAGGTCCTTATACTATTTAAAAACTGAATGCAGTGCATTGGGATGATAGGTTAGGAGTTAGGGCAGGGGCAGGGTAGAGAAAAATGAATGTAGGGCACAAGAAAAGGCTGAAAAGGAATGAGACCATATTGTGTTGTCTTTGTAAACAATATAAAATTTTGCATATCATTTTTATTTCAGCAAGAAATCACTAAGATTTTAGCAGGGATGAGACATGAACCTATTTATATTTTACAAAGATCCTTCAGTCTACTTTTTGTACTTTCATAGCAATAAATTATCATGATGATGAGCAGCATGTTTCTGAAAGAATATTTCTTTTTAACAGGTTTTTTCATTACTTCAGGTAGTTTATTTGTTTTGAATACAAAAATCATATGAATTAAAATATGCCATTACTACAAATAAACTTGATATATAAAAACCAAATTTAGGGGCCAGCAAGTGACATGGTGATTAAGGTGCTGGACTCCATCATGACAGACTGTGGTTTGAGTCCTGGACACGGCGGCTTGCTTTCTCACCCCCTTCCCATCTTTGTCTCTCTCTAATCAAATTAAAAAATAAATAAAATTAAAAAATAAAATAAATCTTTTTTAAAAGAGCAAATTTAGAAAATCTTTACATGTGAATATAAAATAATATAAAGGAAAAGATATGTGACAAAAACACTATTAAACACTTCACAGTATTATTGATAAAAGGTTACTAAAAGTAACTTTTCCAAACCCATATAGTTCTCATTGTAGGCTTTGTAAATATTAAATAACATTAAAGTATTTAGATACTTAGACAATATTTGTTTAAGGAGTACTGATGCAGCAAAATACAAATGTAAATTATTACAGTTATTAATACATAAGTCTACAGTAGGATTAATAAACTGATTCAGATCTGTCTCATCTGTATTTTGAATATTATTAATCAAAAGGTAAAAAAAGCATTTTATTGAAATTCATTAAAAAGAATGCTTATATTGTCTTGAATAATAAAGAGCTGAGACTAACAGGTTTACACTGATAGTGCATCTTTGCAAAACTATCGCCTACAAATAGAACTTTGCTCCCTTTAGGGTGCTTGATGTTTGTATGTCATTGGTATAAACAAGTCGTCTTTCGGTATTAGAAGGAAAATCCATGGCCTATAGCACTGGTTAAAAGCAGGCGCTGTTGCTCTAACAAAGAATATTTCTTACTCTTCTAGGGCTGGTCGGAGATTGGCAGGAACTCGGCTCTAAACATCGGGATCAAGCTCACGGTCTAGCAGCGCTCCCAGGAGGGCGATGGCAAAATAGCAGCCTGCCAGAGAGCAGTAGGAAGGTAAGGAACTAGTTACCTTGAGATGGTTCTGAAGGGGGTTGTAACAGGAGGAAAGAATACAGAAAGCGTGGAGGCGACAGGTTAGACAGCAAGGGAATTGATCTTATGCAGTCAGTTAATGATTCTAGCAGCTTTCGACCACTGAGAATGTTACAATTGGTAAGGGCAGGTGGCAAGCGTGAATTATCTCTTGATAACAGGGAAATCCTTCACAAAGATTTTAATGTTCTTGCCTAAGAGCAAGAACACTGAAATATTGGGATTCTACAACAATAATGCTTTAATGCCAATTTTAAAAAGCTATATTATTGAAGTGCCACCTGTCCAATTTAAGAATACAAATGAAACCAATGAATACAGCCTAGAGTATGTGCTGGTGATTCTGTTGTTATGGTGAAAAGCAGTTGGTTAATTTAAGCACCGATACATTGTTGAATACAGTCAAATTATCACTGGGCTTTCACTAAATTGCTCAGCAGATTATTCATTCATGTTTTAAGGTGACCTAAAAATACAAAATAGTTAAAATATAAGTGGAAATATTACTATTTCTCTTCTTTTTAATTATACATATGCAATTATTCTTTTAAATGGGGACATGCAAGGGATAGCACTGAAGTACTGGAAATTCTGTAAATGGAAATTAAGAATGAGGAGAGGGTGGGGGTAATTTTGGTTTAGTGAAAGAGGCATTGAATGGAAGTATTTTCAGGCCATGGAAGGAAGCATAAAGAGGTGTGCTGAATTCCTCCTTGACTCAGGAATTTCTCAGATTTTAGATTTCTCTGTGTTCACACATCTTGCTTTGTGCACCTTGAGAGCAACAGAGCATGCCTTCCTTCCTGTTTTAGCTCAAAACCTTCTGTTGAAAGTGTGAATTAATATTAGTTCTAATACAGTTCATTGTATTATTAGAGTATCAGAACAAGTTTGTCTTTTTCACCAAAAGCCCATGTCAGAAATTTAATCCACAGCTTCAAAGATGAATTATTTTCATTTAATTAGTTATATAGCTGTATATAATATCATAACTGTTTAATAGTTCAAAGACTAATATTTTATGAAGAACATACCTCTATGACAGGTATGAAGCACTATGTCAATAAAACAGACATGGTCTTTCCTCTCTATAGTGGATAGCCTAGAGGGTACTTTATTAATCTTATAGCAGTCATTGATTTGGGCCAACCCATGGTTCAAATCCTGTCCCCAGTGTCTTGAAAAATACTCTGTGTATGTGCGTGCATGCCCAAATCCTGACAGGATAGAGTAATGGAGGAGAAAGGGTAAGGGCAGGTGGCAAGCGTGAATTATCTCTTGATAACAGGGAAATCCTTCACAAAGATTTTAATGTTCTTGCCTAAGAGCAAGAACACTGAAATATTGGGATTCTACAACAATAATGCTTTAATGCCAATTTTAAAAAGCTATATTATTGAAGTGCCACCTGTCCAATTTAAGAATACAAATGAAACCAATGAATACAGCCTAGAGTATGTGCTGGTGATTCTGTTGTTATGGTGAAAAGCAGTTGGTTAATTTAAGCACCGATACATTGTTGAATACAGTCAAATTATCACTGGGCTTTCACTAAATTGCTCAGCAGATTATTCATTCATGTTTTAAGGTGACCTAAAAATACAAAATAGTTAAAATATAAGTGGAAATATTACTATTTCTCTTCTTTTTAATTATACATATGCAATTATTCTTTTAAATGGGGACATGCAAGGGATAGCACTGAAGTACTGGAAATTCTGTAAATGGAAATTAAGAATGAGGAGAGGGTGGGGGTAATTTTGGTTTAGTGAAAGAGGCATTGAATGGAAGTATTTTCAGGCCATGGAAGGAAGCATAAAGAGGTGTGCTGAATTCCTCCTTGACTCAGGAATTTCTCAGATTTTAGATTTCTCTGTGTTCACACATCTTGCTTTGTGCACCTTGAGAGCAACAGAGCATGCCTTCCTTCCTGTTTTAGCTCAAAACCTTCTGTTGAAAGTGTGAATTAATATTAGTTCTAATACAGTTCATTGTATTATTAGAGTATCAGAACAAGTTTGTCTTTTTCACCAAAAGCCCATGTCAGAAATTTAATCCACAGCTTCAAAGATGAATTATTTTCATTTAATTAGTTATATAGCTGTATATAATATCATAACTGTTTAATAGTTCAAAGACTAATATTTTATGAAGAACATACCTCTATGACAGGTATGAAGCACTATGTCAATAAAACAGACATGGTCTTTCCTCTCTATAGTGGATAGCCTAGAGGGTACTTTATTAATCTTATAGCAGTCATTGATTTGGGCCAACCCATGGTTCAAATCCTGTCCCCAGTGTCTTGAAAAATACTCTGTGTATGTGCGTGCATGCCCAAATCCTGACAGGATAGAGTAATGGAGGAGAAAGGATTGCAGTGTGACCATGCTCCATTGTGGGAGTGCTTTCTCCCTCTTCTTCTCTCTCTGACTTTCTGTGTTTTTCCATTTCTCTTTTTGGCAAGCACACGCACCTTCTGGCAATATATATTTTTAAAATTTTTAAAACTAAAACTTTTTTAAGATTAAAAAATGAAATTTAAAAGCCCCAAAATTAAAAGGTAAAGGAGAAGGAGGGGGAGGGGGAGAGCAGGAGAGGGAACCATGTGGTAATAACTAAAGCGGAGCCATAGTAGATAAGGGTGGAGAGGATGTGGATCATTACATGTGGCAGACACTGTCCATAAATGCATGTATTATCCAGTTTATCACTCTGCAGTCTGATGTAGTAGATATTCTTACTATATAATCCACATTCAATATTCAGGAGAGAGACCAGGAGTTGGTGCAATGGCTATGTTGCTGGACTCCCATATAGTCGACTGTGATTTGAGTTCTGGAACTGGTGGCTTAAACTCATGCCGGGTGTGTGTGCATGTGTGCCCAAGACTCTGAGAGAAGAATGGAGGAGAAGAGATTGCGGCATGGCCATCCCCCTGGGGAGTGATTTCTCTCTCTCTCTCTCTCTCTCTCTCTTGCTGTCTTTCTGGCGAGCACACATGCCTGATAGAAAAAACCTCTCCAAAAAAAAAAAATTATTTTTCAGGAGATTTTAAATTGGGTGCACATAAATAGATTGAAATTGCCTAATGTCACACAATTAATAAATATTTATATATTTCTCATCCAATGGAAAATAGACAATGGAAGATTTTTAGAAAGAACAATTAAAACTATTAGGACTAACCACGATATAAACCCTCTGGCCTAGTTCATCTTTGGCAACCCATTTTCTGGGACCTGCTCTCTACTTGGAAACTCTGTTCTTCCTTCTCTCTCTTAATAAAGTCCACTTGCTATCTTCTCCTTCCTATCCCCCCAAAAAACCCAAAACCCAAACCAAACAAAACTAAACAATTAGGACTTTAATACACACAATAGATAGTAGTAGAACTTCAGAGAGTGGGCTAGCTGGTGGCATGGTGGTTAAGGTAGCTGAGTTTCACATGACTGACTGTGCAGTTTGAGTCTCGGACCCAGCACTATAAAACATGCTGGGTGTGTGTGAGTGCATGTCCAAAATCCCAACAGGAGGGAGAAATGGAGACGAGATTGCAGTGGGACCATTCCCCTTGAGGGGTGCTCTTTCAGTTTCCCCTTCTCTGTCTCTGTATTCTTTCTCCTCTGGTGAGTACATGTGCCCTCTGGCAGTTTAAAAACAACCACCCAAAAAACACAGAGATGCCAGTGACAAGCATTATAATAGGACTCACTAATTGTGACCCTCACTGCTCTTTGTACATTTTGTTTTATTGCTATTACCAAACCACCAACATTTCCTGCTAATGTGCCTTCCAGAAGAAGTCTTCAGAATATTATAATGAGCAGACATGAACCTACAAGGTTAAACTGTCAGTCAGGAACAATCTCCTGGTTTTCAAATAAAGCTCTTTTAAACTATTTATATACGAATCATTCAGCCAAGAGCAAGACATCAGAAATTCTTAGTGGGAGGCAAATCAGAGGTCATAACAAATTATTGCAGTCAGTGAACATTCAACTAAAGGAAGCCTATAAAATGAAGAAAACAAAACAGGAAGGCTTTGACTCCTTTCATTCATATTAAAATGCTGACACAACCTTGATTATGTGTTATAAACAGTGTGATTGGACCACTGCTTCACCATATGGGACTGAGAGCTATAAATATGTTAGATATTGGTTCTTAGCAAAGGAAAATATAGAATAGACTCTTTGTACGAATCATATTTTTATGAGGCTGCTGAAGAGTAGCTGAGTGTTGAATCAAATCACGAATTCTCAAGGCCATCATAATCGGAGTAGGCAAAGTATATATTTGCTCAGGGAAACATCTGTTAAAGAATTTCTCCCGAGTCTCATCAGTAGTTGGCAAGCTTTACTGCTTTAGCTGTGTTTTCATTATTGGCCTGTCTGCAGAATCATTTACACTGGTTGTCCTTCTATCATTAATTCACTAGTAAAGAAATGATCTTTCTAATGGCCTGCTTTTGTTGATAATGCTCACAACAAAATTTAAATAAAAAAGTCACTCTCTGATATGTATTTTGTTCAATTATATTTTTGAGTTTTACGTACATGTACAGAGCTCTGAAAATGATAAAAATAGTAAGTTATAAGAAATGAGTGTGAATTAACCATGGTGCTTAGAATTACAGTTCAGCTACTTTCAGAATATTACAGAAACTCTTCCTTTACCGTATAAATGCATGGTTCACTATGGTCAAGCCTTCTTTGCTAATACCTCTTGGTGAAATTATTGGAATCAGCTAAATTGTAGAAACTTCTTTTTAGTCCAGATAGAGTCATCCTTCAGCAAAATTTGTTTCAGTCAAGCTATCAAATTGATAACAAGAGGTAAAGCATTTTCTGGGGGAAAAAAGAGAGAAGAAAACCAAAAAATCATCTTTTTTGAGTCGGTTGTCTCCAAGCTATATGTTACAGGTGG